CCTCTTGTGTTTGCGTCGAACTGCTGCTCCGTAAACGGGGTCAGGTGGAAAATGTGCTGTAACACCATGGGGGCTAAATCAGGGCACGTCAGGCGTAATCGAGGGTGCACCCTATAACAAATGACGCACATGGGGGGAGGGAGTGGCATGACTAGTTGTGGATTCTCGCAGCTCGTCTCCCGACTCCGATTTTCTCGAATTGTTGATGAAGCCGATCCCAGTCGGAGAGAGAAGGAAAATAGGGTAGACGCTACACACTTCAGCTGTCACTCTTAACCAACTTGCGTGCATTGCACCATCTCTGCGCCCACCATGTCGAGGAGCAGGAGCCGGCCCTCAGATCAGCACCATTATTGCGGATTCATCTTTTCTTTGCTGTCCATCAGTTGCACATGAAAATCGTCTCCTATGCAAACTCCTGCCCGTCACGCATTATTAGCCGAATAGTTGCACGGATGCATACGACTCATCGTTCCTCCGCTCGTGAAACCTTGCGCCCACGCGGTCGCCTCCGAAGGTCGGGCCCCTACCACGCGCCTTGGCATTAGATTCTCGTGAGCTCGATCCAATCCGTGAGCGCAAATTCCTGATTGGCTACAGTACATGTCCGGGATCCTGTAAGCCACACACACAGGCACAGAGCACACACACAACAAACGGCTTGTTTACTGTGAACAAATTATTTCTACAGAGCCTTTTGTTAGTTCCGTTCCTACTTTACACTGTCCAACCTGATTGGTCTTACCTGACTTCTGACTTCGCGAACCTCCTATAGTCGACGATCACTCCACTCGACAAGCACACGATAAGCATAATCGACAAAGACGGTCAAACTATTGCTTATCATATTACAGGTAGTGGCTGTTGTATAAGGCCTAGGAGGCGAGTCAACATTCTGGCACCCTACAATTGCCCGAGTGAGGGTATTTTCGTGTCAGTTGAGCGACATGCATGTGCCTAGCACTGGAGGAGTCGGACTGAGATGTGCTCTGTGCTTTTAATCTCTGATTTAGTCGCCTTAAGTACCTCTTGCCTCTGGTATGTGATGAGGAGGAAGCACAGGGTGAGATTCAAAGTTGAGCGACATTCAATGACAAGATTTTTCCAATGGGATTTTTTAAAGATTTGAATAATAAGCCATGCCAGTTATTGGGATGAATTCGGAATTAAGACGGGCGTCAGACCTCATCGGCTGCTCGCAGTGACGTTTAAAGATGTGAACTCCCGTTAGGTGAAACATAAATCAGTGTTTTGGGGGACTGTTACCTTCGGCTGAACACTTTGGAAATTCTCCACACCATACTCCAGTAAACTCTTATCTGACCTAAATATGATTGTTCCCCTCTTACGAAGGCTGTCCACCTTCCTCTGAGCCGCGTGCCGTGAATATCTTCGTCCAATAATGCGGGCAGCCTTCCTCCACTGACCCTTTCCCAGCCGAATGCACACTGGTGCCAAAAGGAGCCCCCGTTTGGCTCCCTTGCTCCTAGTCACTTTTCCCACAATGCTGTCGGCCCCTCTCTGATTCAAGAGACAACTGTTTTAACTAGCCCAGATGAAGACCCATAAAGTGACTTTGTAGCAGAGAGCCAGCTACCCACTCCCTTACCTTTTTGACCGAGTTAGCCGCGGCCGCTCCGAGGACCACGCGAACACCCCCTCCCCCTTTACAGAGACAATTATGGGCCTCGGCACACCAAAGCCCCCTCTTACCGAGCACTGTTTCAGACCAATCGGATGCCACACAAACTGCCTTCTGAAGTCCGATAAAAGCAGCCGTCACCCCCTCTCCTACTGACACACACTCACACACACGCTCTCCCAAGACTGCTTTTGCCCTGCGTGGTGGTGTTGAACGCGGGTTGTTTCCTCGTCTAGAGTCAGGCGATTTGGCCGACTTCCCTTGTTCTTGACTGTGTGTATCTATTGTTGAGTTTTGTACTTCGTTTATCCTTTACCACTTGTTTAATAGTATCGTACCACATTGATAGTTGTTATCTTTGGTGTTTGACATACGCGATCCTGCTGCATACAGAGTCAAAGAAGTCAGGAAACACGAAACAGGGACAGTCAGTTGTATGGTATGTCAGAGACGGGGTATACATTAACCTCTTAACGTAATTTTGTCATCAGGATACGATATGCGTACTGTTGTGGCTGTTGCGCAAGTATCCCTAAATATAAACTAACACCTGGACAAGTCATCCAAGAAATTGGTATTTATTGCCATATCCGGTGAAAAAAAAA